CAGGATATTTATTGCCCCTGGCAGAAGTAACAACTGCCACTGACAGTCCACCAGAGTCAAATATATATAGCGAGGCCTCAAGTCCTAAACCACCCCAAAACAAAGCTAAGAGTGAAGACTATGATTATGCAAAACCTGAGGGCATCATTGTACTGACAGGAAGCCGTTCAAGTTTAGACAATCTTGATTCACATAAAGACACTGATGTGGAGCCTAAGGGAGGTTATGTTGAAACAAGAGACTTTGAACCTAAGAGCCCTCCCTCTCCACTGTATGCAGTTGTTGAGGGGCCCAACTCGCCTAAGTCACCAGGAGTTACCTCTGAGGGAACGCCATCAGAAAATGAACCTAATGATCTCTCAGGAGATTATATTGAAGTGCTCCCAGACACAGAAAATGAGAACAGGGATGCTGAAACGTGACACAATGTCCTTAATTTTAGAATCTAGCATAAAACATTGGTGTAGTGGCTGTGGCATCTTTGTCACCAACATCAACCAGCACGCCCATTGTGATTTTTCAGGGAGTTTTCATGAAGGCAATTCATGTAGGAAAACCAATCACGTTCACTCATGTGCTTGATGCCAGTCACTGCAAACAGGACTCATATCTGTGATTAAGATCACAGTGACACCATTCTTACTTCTTGGTAGTCTTATCTGATAGGCAAGAAATAACTTTAGATCAACATCTGAGCATTGTGATTTTAGCTATTCATTTGTAAAAAGTATGAACTATAAGAGGAAATTACTTTTTTATCTTTGTGTTTTCCCCAGTATGGCCATTTTTACATACAAAGCCACAAAAAGTCCAATAAAACCCTTAAATTTACACTTAGACTGATAAAGATCTAATTTCTCAACAAAGGTTACGAGAATTACAGATTTGATCAGCAGGGGAACTGTCTTTTTGTAGGATCAAATTCTCTCAACTACAGTTATAAAATTATTAACATAGGAAAATGTGCGAGTCAGTGTGGAGAATTCTTGTAAGCTCATGGGTTCCAAACTTGTGTCTGTACTGATGTTTGAAATTAATTTTAATTTAGATAGAATGGATTTATGGTTTGAAATTAATATATAATAAATTATTTGTAAAGATTGATCTCAGCTTAATTTATTTAATAACACACAGTCATGTAGTATGATTAACCAGAGCACACCTCATAAACTACTCTGTTTTGCAAGTTGCATGATATAATTATTTTATGCTCTCCTTTTACTCAGGGGCTCATATAGATCACACCTATCAGGCTTCCTAAGGGCCTCATATACTGACTCCCTTGGAGGTGGCCCAGACCTGCATACTATGCCATATGCTACATCAGGCTCAAGACTTGGGTCGTATGCTTGATTGTCATAAGAAGCTAGAGAAAAGGGCAAATTAGAAGGAGTATAATCCATGCCACTCTCGTTTGCTCCAATTGAATCTGGTTCCTTGAGAACATTATACGAGGCCACATTACTTGAGCCATAAGAACCCTCTGTTTCAGTGGGGTTGTCTTCAGCATCAGAGCTCTCCAGCACATTATAAAGAGGTTCCTGTGGGTCTTGGTTAGACTCAGGCCCTTTAGGTACATTGATGTACAAAGGCTCAGGCTGCATGTCACTAGTATTACCATCAGGACCTTCAAGGACATTATAAAGAGGGTCTGATGTGTACCCATGACTATCATTCCCTGGGGCCCTACAATCTCTCTCTGAATCCGACCCAACAAGTACAACATAAAGAGGGTCTTGTGTGTCTCTGTGATTATCACTCTCTGATGCCCCATAACCTTTCTCTGGATCTGACTCGAGCACATTATAAAGTGGCTGAGGCCTGTTCCCTAGCTCTGCATCCATTTGTCTACGGCTATTAACATAGACTGGTTCTTCTAATACTTTGGTTCTTTTTTTTGTCTGTCCTGTTCCACCAGGTTGTGGTTTGAAGTTTGGTTCTTCTATGGAATTCTGTCCTTTCTTCAAACTCTGGTAAACAGGAGTCTCGGGTATTTTTTTGTTCAGGCTTTGATAAACAGTGTGATTATCTTCCAAGCTACCATGTAATACCACTTCAAGTTTTTGTCCTGCAGGGGAAGCAAGAAAGAAAGGCTTTAGTAGACCAGCAGTCCCTGCAAACCCACATAAGACCAAATAATGGTTAAAATAGTTTTGTCCCATCTCAGAATATTCAGGTAGTTATTTTTCTGTAATAATTTAATCCATGACAGATGCTACTAGTTTCTGAGTGGGAGATCACCCCTTTTCTCTAAAATCACCATTAGTTTGTTGGGTTATTCCTCACTTCTAAGCATACCATTTTCAATGCTGAGGCCTTGGTATGTTGGTTCACTGTCTTGTTCATTGATTGTCACAACATGTTTTGCTCTTGGTCCTCCCATTTGAATATCATTGTCTGAAAGAAAAATTGTCTTTATTATAAATTAAAAATTATTTTTTATTAATGGCTCTACAGTATTTTCTGTATTTCAAGCCCATTCCCTCTATCTGGATGTGATGGACTAGCATCCCAACTAGGGTGGAGTAACAATACTCCTAGTCACTTCATGCGGCAGAAACTGGGATAAGCTCCGGCCTGATGACCCACTTGGCTTGTATACAGACTTTACCTTTACCTACCTCTATCAAGCCCCAGCCATTTCTAATATCCTGTTTTTCAGGAATTATACAAGCCCCTCCTCCTATTCATTAGACCCCACCCTGGTTTGAATGTGACGGTCACAGCAGCAGATCATGCGCACTGAAGGCATCTGCAGTCGAGTGTTGATCGATACCCTTGATTGATGCCCTTGATCAACACTTGATCAATACTCGATNAGGGAAATGATGATGATGGATTGAGTGATATTGATGGTGTTTTTTTGGATGGTTGCAGCGAAGACACAGATGGTGAAGATGATGGTAGCAGTACCACAGATGCCAATTCAGGAGCTGTTGAAGAAACTGCTGACAATGACGCAAAAACTGGGGCCTGATAAACCTCTCCGCTTGACGTCAATGAATGAAGATTATCTGAAACACCAGCAAAAATGCAATTATTTTTATAATTTTGAGCAACATAAGACTAGTGTAAAACAAATGGGCCAATTATGAATCGGCTGGTGGTTATTTAACAGGTTCAACCAGGGTTTAATGAAAGTCATGGTTTAAATTGAGATTCAGCCTTAATTATCTTGAGCTGCAACGTCATAAACTTATAAAGAACAGCACAATACTGGTATATGCATTCAGAACCTTGATCTGAGCTGGTATTATGTAAATTACTCCTATTTCTCACCCCTAAAATATTTTAAAAAATCGAGCATATTATTTTACAAGTTATGTGATAATACTTGCATGTAAAATAAGTATGTCATTGGGTTTATAATCAATTGGTGACAAGTAAATTAGGAAATAATTTCTTGTGCATTTTGTCAAAATTCTTATAATTATTAGGAAATCATTCACATATTCACACAAGTGAAGTTACAGTATTTCTTAATTTCACCAGTATACCATTTGAATTACCTTTTAATGCCATAGGTCAGTAATTTGTCACCCATGATATCATATAAAAAAATGCCACCTTAGGTCCTTGTAACAAATATACTCACATGTGATTTGTCCTGAAGACTTAAACACCAGACAACCCGTTTTGGTCAGTGACCTGGATGCTGAATAATCACAAGAAATTTTAACTTGAATAATTCTTCCTGAAAGTTGCTTATCCTTGTTAGGTCTCCACTACAAAAGACAAAATTCAAGCACAATGAACATCATTGAATTAATATTTTATTTTAATACCACTTTAAATCAAAAGAACAACTGTAGCAGTTAGGCTTACACCACTGATTAAGAATTCAATGACTGATTTAATTTATTTTAAATTACCTTAAAAACTACTCGACTTCCTTCTATTTGTACTGTGAAGATATCGCTGTGTATGTCCACCCATTTGTTTTTTACTAGGAAGTTGTAGTATGCAGCACTTCGTGGTACCACATGACAGCTCTGGTAATGTTCTGAATTGCCATGTTCCTCCTTACCTCCACTTTCAAGGTTGAGGGACCTCAGAAAAAAGGGCCACTCAAAGAAACCGGAGCAACCTGGAAAAATTTCAACAACTCCAATCCAATCCAATTCTTTAAACCTTTCTGCAAAAACTAATAATAAACAGTGGTCTAGCTAGAAAGCAGACTAGAAACTCACTGCCTGTCATGCTGCACTAATTTCACAGTACATCATATAAAGTAAAAAGGGAGTTTAAAAAACCACACAACAGCAATAGCAACAGGAACGTCGTTAAGCAAAGGTTTAATAAGCAGTACAATGGCCTTGCATGGGTGTCATAATTCTTTGTACATTTCTTTGCTGTCCTCTGAACAACAATTTGAAATGCCCAAATTTTGTGTTGTCTAGAGAACATGAACCATGATCATGGCTTTTTTTACATTAAATTTTTTCCTATTTCAATTTTAACACTGAGTTCCATATTCAGTTTCAAGATAGTTTAGACAAAGGAAAAAAAAATAAACAAAATAACTTGGGAGTATTGGGAGGTTGGTACGTAAAAAATAAATTCATTTTTTAATCAAAATTGTCCTTGGCGTCACCGTCATGGTTACTTAAACCCCCCAGTGAAGAACCAAGGAATTTTCCTGCAGGGATGAACGACTAACAGGTTTGTCAAAGTAACTGACTGCTGGTGAAAATCACTTTTTCTACTTGATGATCTCAGTCAGCTGCTCTGCTAAGCTATTCTTCTGATTCTTTAGACACTATAGAAACAATTGTAGTGTCCATTTAGCACGTAAATATGCTTGGATATTTGTCTGTGGACACTATCTGTTCCAAGAAGCAAACAGTATTCCAATAGCATAGTGTGAGGAAAACTATGAGCTTTGACAGACAGATGTCAAAGCAAAATTGGGAATATCACTTGGATATTCCCCGAGTTTAAGCTGGAGTAATTATTATTCAGTAATGTGATGCGTTTAGACCAATCGTGCGTCAACTTAAATATTTGCTGGATTCTAAAGCGAAATACATGTATTCATGATTGCACTGTTGATCTGACAGTAAAGCCACCTACTTCAAAACTTCATGACAGCCCTAGCGATATAAGCCTTGTCTCATACTGTGAGTAGTCAGTGTAATGACATTTGCAGACTTTTTAATAATATTGTATTCCCATTTCCATTACCAAAGGCTAACCATAAACAAGCTATCCTGAGCACTGTTTAGGCTACCCTGAGTGATATTAAGGTTAACAGGAACATTATTCAGGCCTAAATGCAGTCTGCAGTCTGCAAATGTCATACACCAGTGAGTAAGCAAAACCAAATGTCAGATCTTCTTTCATGTACATGTACTTACTATCAAACAGAGATTCCTTAACAGTCTTTGTATCACCACACCTTCCTAACTCAGGGAGAAATGTTGGGTAGCCTGGCTTGCAAGAGCAGATACACTGCGTGATGTCAAGCATATATGCAGTTGAAGATCCACATGCATTCACAGGGCACTGAGAGTTGTCATAAATAACCCTGAATAAGTCAGTATCATTTCTTCCTTCTCTTGTAATAACATACTTCTCAACGTCATTAACATTTATGGCAGCTAGCACAGGAGCTAGCTGTTGAGCAACAAGATATAATATAAGGAAAGCAATCTTGCTAAAAGATTCCTCCATGATTCTTGATAAAGACTGATGTTGACCTTTCATCTTGGCAGAACAGG